AAAAAAATAATAATAATCAGGAGGAAAAAAAAATGCACATTTGATGACTGAAGAGAGTTGTATGGACACAACTGGGGTCTACTTTATAATATGTTCATTCTACTCCCTGGGGTTTATGCCTAGGATCAGATTTGGATACATGTGTAAGGATATGTCAGCTGTGCTAGCTAGTGGATATACTTAGACTAATTGAGTTCATTGGTAGAACAATTGAATGGGGGGGGCGGAAGCCATTGAGGGCAATCATGAATGTCAGGGACAATGGAGGAGGAAGATGGGACATGGCAGAGGGTGGGGATGGGGAAACTAGGATGGCAAAACAAAAGGCAAGGTATGCAGGACACAAAAATTGGGAAATCATTTGCTGAGAACATGTATGTTGATGTGCTTGATTGAGCCAATGCACAGTGTATTTTGGATGGAAAATTCATATGTGTGTTGTGATGAGAAAAAAAAATTTATAATAAAAAACAAAGTATAAAAAAAAAAGGAGAGAGAAGAGGATAAAGACAGCAGTGAACAATAGAGAGGCAGGATGTTAATGAGAAATAGATATGGTTTATTACCTGTTGATGATGACATGTATAGTATTCTCAACTGAACCGGTCTGGAAAGTATTTCATGATGGGTGAAGTCTTTTTAATAAGCAAAATGAGAAATAGTGATTGACTGTTTAAAAAAATTATAATAATAATTATTGGGAAAAGCATGGAAAAGATATTGAATGATAAAGCGGGGAGATTGATATCTCTGTATTGACTGACATGCATGGCATTCCCTTTTGAAAAAGCAATGGAAGTCAATGTAAAGATATATGTAATCTAGTGTAATAGAAAGAAGATTATGATGATAATAAAATAAAAAAAAAAAGAATGCAGTAAGTCTTTTATGGTACTGTTTAGAATTGTTACTGATTTATTTTTATTTTTGCCAGAGGTGCATACACTTACGAGATAGGAAGAGGGAGAAAGCATACCTCCAATGCAACACAGTCACACTGCAATCACTTCTCGATTTTTCCATCCTGTCAGGATCTTGGGCATGCATGCACATATGCTTGCTATATTTTACAAGCCACCAGACC